TCATTCTGCCTAAAATGTTCACCAGCGGGCCCCTAATAGAATTCCCCTCATTATCAGTCCTGTACTAAAGACCCACCTTACTTACCGGTGCTCTCTCTCTTTCACCACACAGCAAGAAGTAATTCTCCTCTCCTTCCCTCCCTGTGTATTCTAGTAATACTTAATCATTTAATTCATTCTGCTTCCTTTTAGTCATTTAGAGGAGAGAAAGTAAAAGAGACCATTCCTTATATATGCATAGATACACTGTGTCCCTCTTACCACTTGGGCCGTTATGTGTTGTAATCTGGTTGACAGGGATGTTTTAAAAACCTTTGCAAACATTTCTGTCTTCCTCCTCCCCTCACTCCTTCCTTCTGTTTCTCCATCTCTATCTCTTTATCTCTCTCTCTACATTCATATTCACATACAGAGCTAACACTGCACCTTGTATACAAATGGGTTTTTATGTTCATTGAAATCTCATGAAAATCAACTAGTATGATGAAGTTCCCATTATTGTAGCAAGCACCATAAGTTGTTTTATACTGGGGTAAGGGGATTTATTTTTATTATGGAGAAAACAACAACCCTACGTATTTCCTGAATTTGAATCATTTTTAAATTCTAACTAGCTGATAATCTAGTAATTTAATCATTTTTATTATATAAAATTACAGTGATATAATGTCTTTGTTGAGATTAGAAACATTTTCTTAGAGCTGTAGTCGGCAAACTGCAGCTTGCGAGACACACGCGGCTCTTCTGCCCTTTGAGTGTGGCTCTTCCACAGAATACCACCGCCTGAGCGTTAGAAGAAACTTAAATTTAAAAAAATGTAAGTGGTGGTAGAAGAAATTTAAGTTTTAAAAAATGTGGCTCTCAAAAGAAATTTCAGTGGTTGTACTGTTGATATTTGGCTCTGTTGACTAATGAGTTTGCTGACCACTGCCTTAGAGGATATATGAGAATATCATGATGCATATTTGGAATATTACAGATGACTAATCCTCCATAACTGTATGTCAAATATTTGTCTCACTTTTACTCTTTCCTGATTTTACATTGTTCCTCTAACTTCTCTTTTGCCTTCACTTTCCGTAACACATTCCTCTGGATGTTAATCTCTTCTCATACTCTTGTCCTCTGAAAGATTCTATTCAAACATTTATTGGGTGCATTCAGACTTACATATTTTAACCTTTCAGCTGGCAGAGCATGGTATGTTATACCAAATAAAACCCTTCTGACTTTACCTGAAATCTAGAGGGCTGGTGCATGGAATTCATGCATTCAGTGTGTTGGGAGTGTTCCTCAGCCCAGCTTGTGCCCTCTCGCAGACCAGGAGCCCTCGGGGGATGTCCAACTGACAGCTAGCGGGCCTAAGCCATCAGTCCGACATCCTCAGTGCTGCCATGGAGGCGGGAGAGGGTCCTGCCACTGCAGATGCACTTGCCAGCCGTGAGCCTGGCTTCTGGCTGAGCGGCGCTCCCACCATGGGAGTGCACTGACCACCAAGTGGCAGCTCCTATATTGAGCCTCTGTCCCCTGGTGGTCAGTGCACATTATAGCAACCAGTCATTCTGCCATTGGGTCAATTTGCATATTAGTATTTTATTATATAGGATGAACATTTTTAGAAATCCCACACTTCCCTTAAAACCTTAATGACATTTCTTCTTTCCTGACTCCTACATACCAATAACTAGTTCCAACCTGTTATTTCAGCCTCAATTCTCACCACTCCCATAAATCACACCCTACAAACTAGACTCCTCGACATTTCCCAAACTGTGTTTTCTGCCTCCCAGCTCTAGTGAGTGTATTCTTCCTTTCTACAATGCCCTATCCCCCACTTCTGAAAATTCTCCATTTTTTAAAGCATTGAGTTCTGAATTTGGGGAGTCTATAAATTCTAACAAAATTAATCTAAAATTTTGTAGACTGTTTTTATACATTTTTAAAAGTAGAGAGGTCAGTTTCTATCACATCCTCAGAAGCAGACTAAGACTCCCTCAAAAATGAATGAATAAAGAAGTTTTCCATTTTCTTCTACATGTCTGAACTATTCTTTTATTTTTGACACATATGGCTTTATTTGTTTAATTACACATTTGTACATACATATGCCATACCCTGTATCTCTTGCTAGATTATAATATCCTTGGGTTGTGAATATTTTATCCCGTTCCCTGCACACTGTGTTATATATGATGGGTACACAGTCACTGTGTAATAAATCTTTTTTAAAAATGTATGAGTTATTATCCCTTCATGAGATAAGAATTCTCTTCAATGTTTTCATTTACTAAATATGATAAATACATGTTAAGCATTTTTGTAGGCTTTTCAGAAATTCTTAGCTAAGTGGTCACTAAATGTTGTACCTTCTTTTGGGACCAATTAATGCCTCAGAGAACTCATGGGTATTTGGATCTTGTGAGCTTCCACATGGGTTGGGTCCTCTGCTTCAGTCCACCTTTATTCCTTGCTTGTCCTATCTTTCCATGTTTCCTTCTCCTGTACCTTGCCTCTCCAAACTCAGCATAGGCCTAAGTCATTTAGGGCAGAATATTTCTACATCCAAAAGAAATAGTTCATTTAAAAAAAAAATACATTTTTATTGATTTCAGAGAAAGAGAAAATGGAGAGGTAGAAACATCAATGATCAGAAAGAATCATTGATCAGCTGCCTCCTGCACACCCCACACTGGGGATTGAGCCCACAACCCAGGCATGTGCCCAGCCCTGATCTCCTAGTTCATAAGTCTTTGGTCAGCCACTGAGCCACAGCAGAAAGATTCCACTTTTAAAATCTCTATTACAAAGGGATACAAGGAACCAAAATTCTAAAGGTCCAAATAATTCTAGAAAGTCGGCATATCCTTAGGGAGCCCAGTTTGAACCACAGTATTTTCTGGACTTTATAACTCCTCCGAAGCTCTTCAAAAGCTGACCTGAAATGAGAGGGACACCTCCTAATAACCTGGCCCTCTAGGAGTGTCTGAAAATCTGAGACTGTTGTCGAGTAGCAACTTAGCAATAGAAGCAGATCATTTAAATTCTTTTCTTCAGAAAAATAAGTGCTCTTTGTGACTAATAAACCCAGACATGGATTTCTCTCTCATTGTTGCTCAGCTATTATATTTCTGATAGTTTTGACCTTTCATCTAAATGCATAAAATTATACGATACAGATAATATTATTTTTATTTAGTACACTAAAATCTAACCTCAAAATTTTCTCCCTCAAACTCCCATGAAACTGTAAGTATTTTGGCAAATTAATGTTTTGGGCAAATGCTTCTTAGAAGTGATTGAAAGTTATTTCAGCTTTTAAAAAATGTTTCCTCTTTTAAAAGAAGAGCATTTACTGATGCCCTTTTAAGAGATCCTTTACAATTTTACAGTATAACGTATCAATAAAATGCTTGTTTACTCAGTAAATTTCTGTTTCTCCTGTATTGTGTCCTTTCACTTGTGCAGTATCACTTTATTCAGGTTATTCTTAAGTATTAATGATAAACTATACTAACATCCCATTTGTCAGAGAGAAATGTTTTAGAAGCCAGTTTATTTAATCTTGTGATCTAAAAAATGTTAACAGTAGACTACGATACAGTATTACATCTTATGAATTAATAAAAGTATTTTAAGATTACTTTTTCTATAATTTCTAACCTAACATTCTCCCTCAATATTACATTTCATTAACTTTAGGTAAGAAGATGAAGAACCAGTCACTTTGAAAATAATATAAAATAAAATGATTAAGTCTCATGTTTAGGAGAAATTTATGAATATTTGAGGCTGAATGTCTGTGTATAAAGTATTCCACCACAAAGAAATTTGAAATTTGAAAAAAAAAAAAATACTTTGATATAGATATTGCCATTCTTTCCCTTTTTTTTTGTGGTGGGAGTTGGAAATTTATTAACATTTCAAGGCATCATTAATTTCCATAATCAATGGAAATATAAATAAGTTATCTTTACTTTAAAGCATTAAATATTTTTATAACTACTTATATTGAATTGTTTATTTGATCAGATGGTACAATTAATGATACGAATTTTCTCTCTTAAATAATATAATGCGATATTTATTTAACTTAGTTAATATCATTAATATAACCTCATAACCAAATACAGAGTGTTCAGAACCAAATTATAGTACACACTTTATAGAAGAAGCTGATAGATATTTTTAAATATGAGGTTATTGGGAGCACATCTCATATCATTGACACCTACTACTTAATTAAGGGGTGAGAATGCTCGTGTGCTAAGATTACATGGAATAAAATCTGTGATTGTCCCTTTTCTTTCTTGGCTCTGAATTATTTTTCTTTTCTAAGTTTCTTTTCTTCTGTAATTTCTAATAGCTCTTCCTCACCACCACATCCTAAAGCATAATGTAGGCACCCTGATTACATCTTAATTTTGTTCATGCTAATGACCCTCCACTTCTAAATTTTAATACAGAGTTAAGAGAGGGGTGGATAGATTTAGTAGTTTTTGAACATTAATGAAGGTGTATTCACACATTTGCATTAAAATACTAATGCATGTTAAAATCTGCACCATAATTTTTCTTTTATGAGAGATAGAACAGAAATTACATACTCTTCAGGTGGGAGACAATTTAGAAAGGGTGCTTCCAGTCCCTCATCTTGATTTATGAAAGTCAAGAATGTTTTCTCATTGCTGGAAAAATCCATTGGGGTTTCTGCTCCTTTGGTCTCCATTCTGATTATACTTTGAGAATGGTAAAAAAAAAAAAAAAAAAAAAAAAAAAAAAAAAAAGGTTTAGTTTTGTAAGTGGGCTTATTATTAGTGTACATATATTTATTTTATTTTCTGGGGGTATGGGAAGATGATGGGCACACAGTTCTGATGAGGTATTCATTTGCCACCATTCAAGGAGAAATTGAACTTTAAAAGTCTATCAAAGTTCTCTGGTGAGCCATTTGTTACTATCTTGTCTTGAGCCCTTTTTTTTTTAATGACATCTATTATCAGATTGAAATGGCGATTGAGACGCTGCAAAAGTCTGACGGTCTGTCCACTCACAGAAGCTCTCTTCTCAACAGCCATGTAAGTTGCCTCTTCTTGTAAACTAATCTCTTGCTTGTTCTGCATGTGTTGCTTGCTTGTTTTATTTATTTATTTATTTATTTATTTATTTATTTATTTATTTATTTTGCTTCTTAACCTTCCTTTCTCAGCCCTATGACTTCTGTATCACTTAATGACTGTTTTGTACAGTGGAATATCTAAAAAGTAGAGTCCCGAGTATATCGCTTAACTAGGTTTTTGAACTGTTTTGATATCAATATAACATTTCCAAGTTAATAACAACCTGCTATTTTATTTGTAAAATGTAATTTAATGGGAATATTAAGCATTTAAACTTTTCTATTTTAATATTTATTTACTATGAAGCAAATGTTTATCTGCATCTATCTTGTCTGAGACAGAGATATGATTATGTCTATTTGTATGTCCAATAATATTCTTTAAGTGGAAAAAAAGATTATTAATGCCAAACCCAGTGGTAAACTGTTTGAAAATGACTTGCTTATCATAGAGACTGTGTAAGATGGGCAGGAAGCAGCTGCTTAGAGAAGCTAAGGGACTAAAACCTAAAGAAAAATGAAACTGGGCCAGAAGAAGAATTGTGGCTATAGATAAGCCATACATTTCTAATACTTGAGACAAAACAGGAATAGTGTTACTATTTCTTGAAGCTTTTAACTGTTATCTGATTCAGCAGCATTACAACACTGGTAAGTGCAAAAGGAATGATGATAGTTTTCTGCAACTATAAACACTATCATCTAACGTTCACATTTTGGAGAACCAATGAAAATGCTAATTAAAAATTATTTTGTTACCGTGATTTCTGACTAGTAAGTAAATAGACCTATGAATTAAATGTTTTAGATAGATCTTCTGCTAAATTAATATCAACATCAATATAGTAAGAATTAGTTTTCCCTCCCAACTTAAATTTAGAGATAAGTTATTATGATTTTTTTTAATGTTTCTTTAATATTTAATGACTGGAAAGTCCAAAATTAGATTACCCAAATGAAATTTTAGAAATATAATTATTCTTTTGGTAAACCTAAAACCTTTGGATAATAGAAAAGGAAATTTCAGAAATACCATTATATTGAAATTTGTATGCAATGTGTAATTTTTAATAGATTTCTTAATTATGTCATTTTTGTGTTAGCATGAGTCTGTTGTGGGTAAAGACTGATTTATTGTGTTATGAATATGTGTGTGTGTGTGTGTGTGTGTGTGTGTGTGTGTGTGTGTGTGTTTGGGGAGGAGGGCTAGTGACTAATTGGTATTTGTGGTTTGAAAATGGCATGTGAAAATGTTGTTCAATTTTAGTCAAAATATCCAGGTACTCAAGGAAAAAATACACTGATGTTTCCAGTTACCTTTTTTGAAAGTTCAGAAATCTAAGTTGTGCTTTGATATTCAATTCGCATTTCATTTTCATTTCAGGTATATTGTTTAGTAAGTTTTATGTTTAATTTTAACTTGAATTATTCTTAGTATTTTCATGAACAATAATGTGGGCATAAGAATTTTTGTATAATTTTATTTGTTGATTTGTTAGAAACTTTGCAAATAGGTTGGGGGTTTTTGAAATTATTATTTTCATTACACTTCTGAGGTACAGTTACATTCATTTAAAAGTATGTTTATAGACAATTCTTTAGAAATAAAATGATTCTACAGATGGTCTGTAAAGAATAAAGGATCAGTGTTTCTGCTGACCAGTCTGGTTTCCTTTCTCCTGGAGCCCAGAAGACCCTGTTGTTTTTCTGGTCTTAGAAAGTTAGTAATGCTCCTAAATCTTGTTAGATTTATCTAAAAAGCAGAGTAAACTGTTGCATACATTCTAGTTGAAAACCGCTGGCTAAGGATATTTTATATTCTGTTAACCTAATTGGTGATTTTCAGTTGTGTAGAAAAATTTTATTAGTAGAGAGGTATTTTTAAAATGAAATATTGTTAATAGAATATATTAGTTATCTCACTGCACAGGACTGATATAGAATTATTTGAAGTTTGTAGAATTCTTTGAAAAACACAAGAATTCATCTTTATGGTAATACCCTGTTTCCCTGAAAATAAGACAGTGTCTTATATTAATTTTTTCTCCCAAAGTTGCGCTAGGTCTTATTTACAGGGGATGCCTTATCTTTCCATGCGCTAGGTCTTATTTTCGGAGGATGTCTTATTTTCAAGAAAACACTGTAGTTCTCTGATCAGTTTCTACAAAGGGTCAATTTCATTAGACAAAAAGTTAAGAGAATTTGTCGATAATTGTGTCCCATACTTATCAGTTTCTAAAGAATGATCTTAATGATGATTTCTTAACCTCAAGGTTTATAATCATTCTATTTTGGAATATGGACCTGAACAGATGTCCTGTTTTCTGTTCGTGCACTTGATTATTCATACTAATTCAGAAAATTCTTATTATAGTTAAATCAGAAATAATGCCCTCTCAGAAAAATCCAACTTGATTTTCAAATTTCTGCACATGAGACAATGGAGTGGAGTGTTCAATTTTATATCCCTTTTTCATCATATTCTGAAGGTATATGGTTTTGGGTATTGCTGCTCTACTTTTATAATTATGTTATCCAAGTGGAAAGCATGTCTGACTTGTCTGTTTTATACTCTATGATGTCACACCTGTGACTGAGTATGGTTACACTAAATGCCATGTTTTATTCTATTAACAATAATAGTATAATTACATTTATTTCATTAGTAGCATCTTATAGACAAACAGAAAGTATATATTAATAAGTGAAAATTCCAAGAATGCAAAGATTTTATCCACTGATGAATCCCTGGTGTCTAGAACAGTGCCTGGTTCATAGTAGATGATCATTAAGTATTTGCTGAATGAATGAATGAATGAATGAATGAATGAATGTAAGAAACAAGTAGTAGAGGGGAATGGGCCTTATTTTACCTTCAGTATCGTAAGTACATTTACCAATCATGTGTACATTTATTTGGGAACTTCTATATGCACTAGAGGCCTGGTGCATGAAATTCGTCCACTGGGGTGGGGGGATCCCTCAGCCCAGCCTGTGCAGGTAAGGCCTAAGCTGGCAGTCAGACATCCCTCTCGCAATCTGGGATTCCTCGCTCCTTACTGCCTGCCTGTCTGCTGCTCCTTACTGCTCAGCTCACTGCTCCTTAGCACTACTGCAGAGACAGGAGAGGCTCCCCCCATCATTTCTGCACTCGCCAGTCCTGAGCTCAGCTTCTGGCTGAGCAATGCTCCCCCCTGTGGGAGCGCACTGACCACTATGGGGCAGCTCCTGCGTTGAGCATCTGCCCCCTTGTCGCCAGTGCACATCATAGCAACAGGTCATTCTGAATGTTCCGCCATAATGGTCACTTAGGTTTTTATTATATAGATTAGAGGCCCAGTGCATGAGACTCATGCACTGGTAGGGACCCTAGTGGCTGCCAGCTGCTGGCCAGGGCCTCCCTACCTTCCGCCAGCTGACCCTGACCCCTGGTCAAGCTCCTGAAGGAATTCCCGGCTGAGGGCACAATTTGCATACTACACTTTTATTATATAGGGTTGTTTTGTTTTCCAGTGTGCTTCATTGGGTGTATGTGTGACTATTGTTGGTAGAGAGAGGTCTTATCCCTGCTCACCATTTGAGTAAAAGAACATATGATCACTCTGTCATTTACCCTTGTACCACCATCAGATTAAAAGTAGACCATTGCTTCTTTTACAAGCAATCTAATCCTTCAGAAAATCAAGGCCAAGGGTGATATCATTTATCTCTATATATTTAGAATGGTACTTTTGATTTCACTTTTTACATCAGCCTGTTAGTATAAAATTGTTTTATTTGAATGTATTTATTTCTAAATTTTTTGTATGAGAAGATGTTACAGGTAAATGATGCATAGTCTGTCTAAATCAAATTAAAATACTGTAATTCTCTTCATTGAAAACTTTATTTATACTCCTTCTCTGTTGCAATTAATGTAAATTGGCCTTTAATAGTTTAGATTGTATTCAATTTGGGACATTTAATATCATAAAATTGAATGTAGAAAAGTTCTTACGTTAATTGTTCCCAATTTTCACATAATGTTCTTTAGCATGTGCTTTTTTAAAAAAAAAAATCTATTTAAAGTGCATACAAAACTTTAGACATTAATTTTATACACTTTTTACAGTCTAGCAAATAATAATTTCATGACTTTTACTGGTTTTAGCTACTGAAATATATTGAGCTCAAAGCAAAACTTTATTTTATTCTCACTCTCCCTTGACTCTTCTGTACTGTGAATCTAAGTTATGGTAAAAATAAGACTTGTATATCATCAGTGAACTGAACTTAAAATTAATCCTAATGTATAAGAATTAATCTGGGGGGGAGAAATGCTAAATGTTACATTAGATGTTAATTGGAGAATGCAAGGTGTATTTTTTTTTAACTTGTCAATCAGTATTTCCCTTTGGGAAAAATAGGACCTATTCACCTTCCTTAATCTACCCTGATTAATATAGGTTAAGTGTAAAGGTTGAAAGATGCAATTATCTTTGTTTCCACCCTTACAAGAATTTATGTTAGTTCATTAGTAGAGTAATCAGCTTTTAAAGATAAAGGTTAAAAGTTTCTATGGTATTTTATGGGCTTTAAAAATCACAAATGTAAATAAATATTTTATAAAACACCTTATAAAAAGAATAAAAGAAATAGTAATAGTTTAGTTCTAAAGTGTGTAATGTTAAAGATATTGAATGTTTGTGTCAAAATACATTTTATTAAACACAATACCCAAAGAAAAAATATATCTTAGAGCAGGTATCAAATTATCCTTGGGCAGTTCATGAAGTGTTTACCTTTATGTTGTACTTAACTGCCAAGTTTCTCTTACAATAAAATTAATCCTTTCTTATACTGTGTTTTAGACTCAAATGTCTGATTTACAATTTCATCACTGTCAAAACTTTAAGGTTAAATAGCAGCATGTAGCACACAAATTATAATTCCCAGATAAATCTTAAGAGTTATCTGGTGGGACTTATACCAGTCTCCAGGGACACAGTGAGTTTGCAGGGGCACTACCGGAGGTGGTATAGCTGTTGGCAGACTTCCTTGCTGGAACAGCCATGGCTGCAGCACAGCCACCACCATCCTTCAGGGCTTTTACTTCCACTTGACTTCCTTCTTCTGCTTTTCCAAAGTGATTCCAGGCCTCTGGCAAGGACTAAAATTCCTCTTCTGGCAAACAAGGGGCAGGGAATAAGATGTAGCTTTGCTGCTAAAATTACAGCTACCAGAATACCCACTCTTGTGGAATTTTTCAACCAACCAATCACACACGTGTGTGTGTGTGTGTGTGTGTGTGTGTGTGTAAGTATATGTACACATGTTTATGTGTATGCACACACATTCACATGTATTACAAATAAATTTGGATTTTTAAAAAAATCAGTTTAGAAATGAAGAATCTCTAAATAAGTAAACCCTTATAAAAAGAACATCAGTTTGCGGAACAGTTCACTATTTTTTACTTGTTTAGCCATTGAAGAAGACCACATAGCCAATCCAATGAAAGCTTTATTTTCTCTAAATTATTCATTGAATGTGACCAATATCAGTTAAACTGAGTATTTTAAAGTCAACTTTCACTCCTTCTGTGAAAAATTTTCTTTATTTAAAAATGATCTAACTCGTTTAACATACCATTAGATTCAAAATATTTTATATTGAACTTTAATGTTTGCCCTATATTTCACTTTTATAAGACAATTTATGATAAAAACCCTCAAATATCTTATTGAATTTGCTTTTTCAAATTCTTTAAAAAATGTTGTCTATAAGATCATTTTCTTTTTTATGAGAAATTAGTAAACTCTTATTTTTAGATATTTATCTTTACTGTCATATAATTAATATTAAAAGAAAACTAGAAAATAGTTAAGGGTGTGTATAGAAATATTCCATTGAATTGTATGTAAAATAACTCTTTAGCATACTTCTTATAATTGGCGTGGAAATTTTGATGAGACAAGTAATATGAAATTTTTGCTGCCTTTGTGGAAATAACAACTGGTATGTTAGTGATCAAGAAATGTTGGAAATACTATATGAGATAATATATTACCTTAAGAAAGTCATTTAAATCTATACTAGTTCTCCTTTTATAAATAAATAAATGAATAAATTGATCATTTAATTTTTCTAATATTAAAACTCAATAATACATACCTAAATTAGGTTTTTAAATTTTTCTTGCTCATTCTATACTTTAAAGATTATTTTTTTAAAATATACATAGGGCAACATAAAACTTTAAAATGAGAACCATGACTGAGAAAATATTGCTTTACCAACTACATTATGAAAATTTCCAAACTTATGAAAAAGCAACGTAGTTTTAAGATAGAAAAATTTAAATGATTCCTTTTCTTTACATATAACTGTTTAGCCAAAATCTAGTGAGTTTCTTTCCTTCTGGAAAAGAAATAACTGACTTTTTTTCCCTTTTTGATTATAGAACTCTGTCTCAGTAGTTAATACCATTATTGTACCCTGTTTCCCAAAAAATAAGACAGTGTCTTATATTAACTTTTTCTCCCAAAGTTGTGCTAGGTCTTATTTTCAGGGGATGTCTTATCTTGCCATGCACTAGGTCTTATTTTCGGAGGATGTCTTATTTTCGGGGAAACATGATAGTACCTTAAGTAAATTAGATCAGTAACTACAATTGTATTAAATGAATAGAACCTTAATATAAAAACTCATACAAGTAAGCCTGCTGTCCACGTATTATAACAAGCCAAGTGTAACAACATATGTGCCATACTGCTAGGTTTAGAACATACTTTGTTCTGTAACAATTATAAATTATATTTTAGACCAGTTAATGGGATTCTTAGAATTCCCTGAAGTGGTTTTTCTCCAGAATGGCAATACAGAAAAAAAATATTTTCTCTCTACTTGTGTTTGGATGTTTGTAGGAATGGAGTTGACCTGAGGCCAGAAGGGATGTACAACCTTTTCCTTTTCTCAGAGTTTTCAAAATCAGATTACACTGGCCTCTGAATAATTACAACAGTTTACCCTCTCACAAGGCTTGATGACAATCCAAATATTTCTGTATATTGCACTTTTAGATATTGTATTTTGTCCTGTAGGCCTTCCTGTAAATCATCTGGTTTCTCCATGTTGACTCTGTCTTGTTTACACTAGCTCCAGTGGCTGTTGGACAATTACGAGACAGCAGAAGGAGTGAGCCTTCCCAGAAGCACTCTGTACAACCACTACCTGCGACACTGTCAGGAACACAAACTGGACCCGGTCAATGCTGCTTCTTTTGGAAAATTAATAAGGTCCATTTTTATGGGACTACGAACCAGGAGATTGGGAACTAGGTTAGTATTGAAAAGTAAGATCATGAATTAGCCTCTCTTTTTCAAACTATAGTTGTTCAGTATATTGCTTGAGCTAAAGTACTTGGTTACAGATACCAACATTTAAAGAAAAAATATAGAATGACCTCAGTTTATTAAACACCCCTTTCCCCCAGGGAAAGGAAAGGTCATTACTCAGTAAATACTACCAAACCACTGAGGCATCATCCTGAACATCAGCTGAGCAAAGCTCTCAGAGGAGCGGGTTCTCCAGTCACATAGGAAGTGGCAAACAAGCCTGTTAATGCAAGATTCACATAAGATGCTTTAAAAGTTAACATGTATCACCGTCTTTTCTTTTGGAACATAACCATACCAAAGATGATGAATAAAGTAACATATTAAATGGAAAACTGTCTCTCTCTTGACTCTTGAAAAATTACATTGAAATGTCTGGAGTAAAAAATTCAAGCTGAGTTTTCTCATTCATTTCTGGAGAGCAATTAAAAATCATTTGGTGAACTTGAAAAATATGGGTGTTTTAAGCCCTGAATAATGACATGGTCCTAATTAATCTATGTTAGCCTTTTTAAATTCTTGATTGTGAAACCATACATGTATGGAAGTAAAAAAAAAATATGGTTTAGTTTTATTGCATGGAAGCCAATAATGTGAAGAAGACTCTTCTTTTTTTATTGTTTTTTTGTTTTTTGTTTTTTTGTTTTTGCATGGCACAAATTTTAAATTTTATTGTACTTTTTATAGGACCATTAAATACTACTGGGCTCTATATCCAGAGTTTGAGGATGCAGAACTGTAAGGGTGAGGTTATAGAGTAAGCAATTCACATGTAGGGGCTGCCCAAGGAAACCAGGGACTGATTACCCAGTTGCAATTGTCGGAAAAACCCGTTCGGGACTGTACCAAGTTTTGTTGTCAAGTAATTGCTCCTTGACTAGCCTTTCAAGAGAAATAGCAACAAGACAGGTTAACTTTTTGGCTGGTGACAATTGATGGTAGATCACAGGCAGGAAAGCTGACTGGTGGCTGAACAGTGGATGACAAAAGTCTAGAGGCAAAGTGGTTATTTCATGTCTTAAACCCTTTCTCCAAACTGCTTTCTAGATGCTTTCCTCAATTTTTATTTTTCTACAATAACACAAATATTTTAAGTAGCTGGGCAGAAAGATATGGATTTCTTTGTTTCCTAAATCTTATAGAAATCCATATTAAATAGTATAAAAATAAAGGTGCTACACTATATACCATTAGATGATCTACCTTTAATTAGTTTCAAGTCACAGTTTTACAGTATTCTAAGAAAGGGTTTTTATTAATATTCTTCCTAAAATAAATAGAGCCTTAGTAATTGACCTTATAAATTTATACTGAAAAGAGAGGAGAGTGTCAGTTTTAGTGTCAGTTTTATTAGATTTATTAAGTTTTGTATATATTCAAAGTGTGAATCATTTCAAGTGAACTATTTCTGTTGCTTTCAGATTGCTGGAGATTTATTTTTCTCATAAGTGTATTTTCTTCTATGTATACTGGTTTTCAGTCCCTTGAGAAAAACCTTTTGTTTCTTGAGTATTGTCCCCCCCTCCCCCAGAAACCATTGTTCGGGACCTAACCTCTTATCTCCTAGCTAATGGCTCAGTAGTTAAGCATCCTGTGCCAATATTTTGAAACTCTGGGCTTTATTCAACATTTTAAAGCTCTATTGTGCTTCTTTTGTTGTTGAAAGGGATTTCAATGGATCCTATTTTGAAGCTCTATTCAAATCTTAAAACACATCTTTAAAATAGAAAGTGACAAAATTAGGGTTGTTTGGGTTTGTGATTGAGAAGAATCCATACTCTATAAGTACATATTGCAATAGTGCAGCATTTACTTTCTGGTATTCTTTTTTCCCCCTGTTCTCACTGAGTAACAATTATGTCTTCTGTTCCTTTTAAAATTGTTATATAGTATTTATAATTAAGGATGGAAAGCACAGCCCAGAAGAATAAGGAGAAAAGAAATCCTGTGGGGAAAGTTGAAACAAATGCTTTGTTATGAAGATAGCAGAGCCTCTTACGTAGAAAAACTGACAGTGGTGGGAGTCACAGTGCTGAGTCTTTCTACCAGGGAAACTGAATTAGCTCTATCCCCTACCTCTAAACCAGAAAGAAAATCCATATAAATCATGGCACAAATTAACTCAGTTTTTTAAAGCAAACTGTATGTAGAACTTTTATTTATCCAGCGATAAAATTAACTGGTGAATTCATTCAAACCAGAACCAGACATTTTCTCAAGTTTTAAACTAGCTAAGAAGTAAATGAAACCACCATGTTGCTAAACAAAGGCAACTGAAACAGTGCCATTTGTAGACCCCACTTTCAAATTAAGTTTAATCCAAGACCATGGGACATGCTGACCTGCCCCATGGCCGATGGAAAGGAAAGAACCCCCTCCCCTGCCCCAACCCACACAAGTGCTGATTTGAAAGAAACTGGACAGGTCACCTGCTTTGCGGTCTCACAGTGGAGACACCTTTTCACACTGTGGCGCTGTCATTGGCTGGATCCCCTGGCTCATGTCTGCTTCTCCCTCCCCCTGCCGTGCCTCCTTGTCATTCTCCACTTTGTTCAGAAAACATTACTAATTGGGTTTGTATATTTTTGTTTGTATATTTTTTCTCTATTCTGCAGTGGATTTTGGAGACATAATCTCTGCTAGTGGAAAGCTTTCTATAGAGGGATTAGGCTTTCACACTGGTTCATTTTGCAGAAACTTTAGAGGCACTCAGATGCCCTACATTTTTTTTAAAGTAGCAATATTATTTATATAGCAAGATTTTAATGTTGTTGTTTTTTTTCCATATATTTAGGGTTCATTTAATATATGTTTTTTAATTTTGGACGTAAAATTCTGTTTTGTTTGGTTATCATTGTTAAACTTTAAAAAGTTAACCATAATTCAATGGTATCCTTTGTCGTGTATATTTCATGTTGAAATTCTCCCACAACTTTTATTTATGTATTTTTCTATTTTATTTTTTAATTGAATTCATTGAGGTGAGATTGGTTAATAAAATTATATAGTTTTCAGGTATACAATTCTATAACATATCAACTGTACATTGTGCTGTTTTTATATAAAACATTTAATCCACACTCTCCCTGCATTTCTTGTTATAAATGAGAGAAAAAAAATGAAAGAGTACTGACGTCTTGCTATATATAGGCTTATGAAAAACCATTTTCTCTTTGTAAAAATTCGCATATTTAAAATGTGGTATTTTCAAGAATTTCCCATTTCGTTTAGAATTAAACTTTGTCATTTCTAATAACAAATATGGCCTTTCTCCTGAGCTTGGGTAATGATGACATTTTTATTCCAGGTAGAAATTTGCCATTTTCACAGAGAAATTTCTCCATATCTGTTTGTGACACATCTTATTCAGCCTGCAAAACTAATATAAATATATAAAAACAGAGACTAATAAAATGTTTCAAAATGAGTCGATGCATGCTTTTTAGGCTTCAAAATATTAAATATAATAGACTTCTCCACAGCATCTTGCATTAGTGAAGTTATCTTCATCATCCCTGCAGTAATAAAACTTGAAAAATGTAGAATTTACTAGTACCTAAGAAAGGTAGAATTAAGATTTCTTTTTCTATTGGTTCTGTATAACCATTTTATTATAAATTATTCTTTGGTGCTCAATCCTTTATCCTGTTAATGAATTTCTATTGGTCAGAATCTTTTTCTCACTATTTCCCTTTCTAAGTTAAATTTAAAACATAAATTTTGAAATAAACATGTAGCTAAAATGGGATAAGTGGACTATTTAACAATATTTAAGAGAAAGTTTATAAAGACTTTTTGGGGGGCCTTGAACCAGTGGATTTAGAACCTTATTATGATTCCCCACATGTATTCGCCATCAAAATATATAAGTATCCCAAACACATCACAAATATATAATAACATTAATATGGTGCTTTTATATATTTTTCCAAGTGAGAAGTTATTGGACATCCTATATGATTAATACAGGTTTGGCTGACTTTTTGTGTCTCTAATGTTTGTTGTTCTTTTATGAAGAGGAAACTCCAAGTACCATTACTATGGGATTCGTGTCAAGCCAGATTCCCCTCTCAATCGTCTGCAAGAAGACATGCAGTATATGGCTATGAGGCAACAACCCATGCAACAGAAGCAAAGGTAGACTCTGCAGTTGTCGTTGGCATGCCAAAGCTATCTGTTTCTTTAGATGTCCGGTTTCCTTTTTGTTCTGAACAAATAGAACAAATACATAAGTGTGAAAGAATGTCACTATTGTTGGTATGCTTTCACAATAGACAATTCTCAAATATGATTTAGAATTTTATTCATCCTGCCTATTTTCCAAATCTTTCAAAATTACTTAAAAAGTCAGCTGTTTGTGGCCCCTTTTAAGTTGAATGTGATATCCCAAGCTATTCAGTCAGGGAAACTAAACATAAGCATAAAGAGCATACCCAAGAAAATACCACTTGGAGAAATGCGTTTCATATTCATGAGTTTGTTACCTGCTATTCTGCACATCCCTCGAGCCATCCTTTTTGACACAGTATAAATTCTTTCAAAACGTTTGGGACTTCTTGCACTGTATTTGAATCCAACTTTCATAGATGTAGAATTGTAGGTATTAGAGCTGTAAGAAAGCTCAAGCATTCATGGGTGGATGGATGGAAGGATGGATGGATGGAACCATAGATCTTAGAATTAAAGATACCTCAGACTAGTCTGGCCCCACAGCCTGTGACAATCAAAGCACTAATAGTCCTATTTTTTAGTTAAGTCTCAGATCAAAAGATTTACACAAGCCCATGATGCTGTTATATAGCTGAGGGTCTTTTAGTCTCGTGTGGTTTATATTACAGTTTGGAGTAAATACAATGAACATATTCTCTCTCTCTCTCTCTCAATCTCTCTCTCTCTCTCTCTCAATCTCTCTGTCTCTCAATCTCTCTCTCTCTCTCTCTCTCTCTCTCTCTCTCTCTCTCTCTCTCTCTCTCTCTCTCTCTCTTAGTGTAGTACAGCTGTGGCAGCAGTTATAATTTATCTTTACAATTGATCATGCAGAATTAGGTAGCAGAAAGAAAGTCTACACATAGGTAATCAGATAATCTGCATCATTTCGCCTAATCTGATCTGTGATGATTAGTTCTTTAGTCATCAGAAGTATTAGCTCTAAGTCATTGCTGGAGAAAGAATATATCACACAGGAGTCCCTTTTCTATTTAGTCAGAAAGTACTAATTGAGTCCCTCCTATGTACCAGGCTCTGAAATCAGAGAAGTTACAGCTCTTACCTTTGAGGAGTTAGGAAATTAGATGGGGAGGCATATGTTTGTTTGTTTATTTTTTGGTTTTTTGTTGTTTTTGCTGTTGTTGTTTAAGTAATGCAGTATAAGAAGTACTAAAATAAAACTTTGATCAAAGACCTATTGGAATACAGAGCAATTTTTATCAAATTCTCAGAGAGGGAGGACTAGGAAATTTCATAGAGAAAGTGCTATTTGAGTAGGGATTTAGAGAAATCAAAAAGAACATTCAGCTGAAACCAGTTTGGCTCAGCGGATAGAGCGTCGGTCTGCAGACTGAAAGGTCCCAGGTTCGATTCCTATCAAGGGCATATACATTGGCTGTGGGCACATTCCCAGTGGGAGGTGTGCAGGAGGCAGCTGGTCAATGTTTCTCTCTGATCGATGTTTCTAGCTCTCTGTACCCCTCCCTTCCTCTCTCTGTAAAAAAATCAATAAAATATATATTTTTTTTTAAAAGAAAGAAAGAAAAAGAAAGAGGAACATTCAAGCAGAGGGAATAATGTAAACAAAAGTATAGAGGGGCAGAATTCACTATGTCTTTGATAAATGCTCTGATTTGGTGAGGTTGGCATTGCAGAAGAAGAATTGAGAAAGTTGAATAGTTTAGTGGGAAATTAGATGTAAAACATAGTTTGGATCTGAAATTAAAGGATTTAGTTGTATATGAAGTTAAGTTTGTTCTTTGTACAGAATATAGCTTTGAAGCAAAACAATGAAACTTTCAGATTTTTTTTTCTAGAGAGATGACTTTTGGTTTTAGGCTGGACATATGTAATGGGAAGAGACTAGAGGTAAAGTGGTTTTAACACAGTCATAGTTTCTAGTGCAGGTGTCCCAAACTGAAGAGTCAGGACAAGATTGGATATGATGTAAAGATACCTCAAGAGATTTAGATTTTTAACTCACAAATTCTCAACTATATTTTTTAAGGTGCTGATCCTTATGTTTTCAGGTATACTTCACAAAAGATATTAAGAAGGGCTCTGAAAAAAATAATGAAATCATAGAACACTAACACATAATGTGTTTGGAGATAGAATTTGTATGAATTATAACTGTTATTGTCTTAGGTTATGATTTTTTTCACCTGTTATGGCAATATTTATAGCTTTTAATTTATGAGGCCTCTGCACTCATGTATAGCAGCACTACACAGTGGAGGTGATGATATAATAAAGAAAAAAAATTTGATTAAAAAATAACTCATGCTTAAACTTAAATATGAAAAAAGCTTAATGAGTTGCACCTAAGACAGCAGATGCCAATTTCTTCTCTGATTATAACTGCAACAAAATCCTACCAAGAAACTTTTCATGGACATTGAAGCCTTTAAGATACATTCTTTTCTTTTTTTTTAAAGCCTGGGTTAAGGAAGCAAGACCTAAAATTTAACAAAGGTCTCTTAATTAAAAGGTTCCAGAGATATGAAGGTTAGCAAGTCATATAAACTCTACAATCACAGTATAGTAGTAAATGTTTTTTGTTTGTTTTTTTAGAATTAGGTAAAATATGGGTGTATTTTTTAGAATTAGATAAAATATGGATGTATTTAAGAAGTGATGTAAAACTTCTTAATAAAATAATGTTAATATAAATTGTTCCAACTTTAGTTAGTTTTTGCTTTCTCATGAAATAAGAATGTTAGAGAACCAAATGAATTCTAAAGTTTCCTTTATTTTTTTTTTTAATTACAAAAGTTTTGGATTGTAGACAGTTGCTCCTAGAATGGTGTCTAGCTAACTGATTGCAGAGTTAGTGTTATCAACTTCATGGACTCCTCATTGGATTAGCAGTGCAGAGGGAGATTTCCCTTGTGTCTGAAGGATCTTATCAACTGGCAGCATCAGTAGGCCTAAGTGAAGGCAGATTGCTCATTGAGCAGAAACATTGGATGGGAGAGGAGATGTTTTCTCCTTAAGTCCGAATGTAGGCATAAGAGTATTTGTCGTAAACTGAGAAAGAGCATGTCATTTGTTCTATGGCTTAAAAATTTGATGATTTCAAAACTCAAATGATTCCATATTAAAATTGAATATATTAAATTTCATATAAGAAGAGATTGCCATTCTCCTGTTAAAATACAAGCAACATAGTATTCAATATTCTATATAATAAAAGGCTAATATGCAAATCAACTAAACAGCAGAATGACCAATCATTATGATGCATACTGACCACCAGAGGGCAGATGCTCAGTGCAGGGGCTGCCCCCTGCTGGTCAGTGTGCTTCCGCAGGAAGAGTGCCACTCAACCAGAATCTGGGCTCATGGCTGGCAAGTGCAGCAGTGGTGGCAGGAGCCTCTCTTGCCTCTGCAGCAGTGCTAAGGATATCCAGCTGACATCCTAACCAGGAGTCCTCAAACTTTTTAAAGTGGGGGCCAGATCACGGTCCCTCAGAGAGCTGGAGGGCCGGACTATATGAACTACTAATTCCTACTGTAACACCTCGGCTGCGCTCACTGCCCAAAAAACCTGGCGGGCCAGATCAGACGCCTCTGCAGGCCGCATGTGGCCCGCGGGCCGTAGTTTGAAGACCCCTGTGACCTAAGCCATTGGATAGACATTCCCAAGGGCTCCTGGACTCTGAGAGGGTGCAGGCTGGGCTGAGGGGCCCCACTCCCCCAGAGTGCACTGGGCCTCTAGTTTTGGAATATTCAAATTATTTTAGTGCCTCAAGATTTATTGTATTCATCTATATGGGCACATCTTCCATAGTAGAAATGTATGTTTTGTGTATTCATATATTAAGAAAATTCAAGTATATGCAGTATTATTTTGTCAAAAGAAGGGAAGTTTTAGAAGTCATTTTTTCTGATAAATTTGAAATCATAGTAGTTGTAGCAGAAATAATGATCTGATTGCTGTTTTGTATATCTTTATAATTATTAGATCTCCTTTACATATGGTATTTCACTTGACTTTTTGATAAGGTAGTAAAGGAAAATTTCACATATCTACAAATCAGATTTCCAGCAACACAACCATAAGGAACATAGCCATGAGTCAAGAAATAAATGGAAACAGCTTCTGATTGAAAAAATAGGTGTCACAGAGACTGTATTTTAGCTTAATTGAGAAGATGAAGCCATTCTCAAGCTATTTACCTAAAATATAGAAGCAGATTAGAGCCCACTGATTCACATGAAATGGTGAGATAGAAAAGCAGGCAAGAAGAAATATAAGTAGCAGAAGTCTTCTATTTGCTTTGGTTATTCAACACAGCAGGCTTCACTTCAGTAAGTCCTTTGAGTACCACTCTAGTGACTAGAATCTAGTCTAACACAGTTAAATAACTGGATAATTGACGGAATTATAGATAATCAAGAAGAGGTAAAGTACCCTGGTTAAAGAAACAGAAAACTGTATAATAGTTGTTGTTTTTTAATACCTTCTGCTGAAAAGATTTTATATGAAAATTATTTACATGCATGTGGTAATCTGTAGTTTCCAAGGGAATTCACCCATAAACTATTATTTATGATAATTCATTCAGTAAGTAAATTAGGTTATTATGGAGATCAGTAATTTTTAGATCTTAAAACTAAGTAAAAACGTTTGTTGCAATTTTGTTTTTAATATTTAAAAGAAGCACATAGAGGGTGTTGACACATACATTTTAGTTTTTCTTCCAAATCCCTGCAGCAAAAGTGGTGGCATAGAGCCAAGTGCTTTTGACAATGTGCTTTGCTGTGTTTGATCCCAGTAGCCTTCCTCAAAATATTTAACCTCCAGTTCTCATTCCTTCAACAAATGCTTAACAACCAACAGTTGCATACCAAATATGCCCACATCTCAAAAAGATATCACAGAATAATAGAAAGTTGCACTATCACCTAGTCTAACTCATCTTCTT